CTCTCTCTCTCCCTCTCTCTCTCTCTCTCTCTCTCTCTCTCTCTCTCTCTCTCTCTCTCTCTCTCTCTCTCTCTCTCTCTCTCTCTCTCTCTCTCTTTCTCTCTCTCTCTCTCTCTCTCTCTCTCTCTCTCTCTCTCTCTCTCTCTCCCTCTCTCTCTCTCTCTCTCTCTCTCTCTCTCTCTCTCTCTCTCTCTCTCTCTCTCTCTCTCTCTCTCTCTCTCTCTCTCTCTCTCCCCCTTCCTTCCTTCCTTCCCAACTCCCTAAGTCTCGGATCGCAGGCAGTCTTGACCTTGGCTGTCAGACACACTGCAGAGATGCCATTAAGCGACACTGAATAATGCCCTCCCTCCTCACCACCCATTCTAAAAACCCTTTAACCTTAATCAAGCTTTTAATCAATTACCTTGTCTGATTACACTCCCACCTAGCACACCTCCTGCCTCTCCCTCTCCCTCCGTCTCTCACTCCAGTGCTTGTATTCCCAGGTGGGCTGTACCCTGCAATGTCAGAAGGTGCCGGTAACGATACAGCAGTTTCCTTGAGCCCCGACCCTCTAATAGGACAAAGTTTAGTCCCCTAATTAGCCCTTAACGCTGTGTCAATTTAAATTAAGAGGTGAGCCAGTTTTAGAAAGAAAAACTAGATGTTGAGCTCTAGACACTGCTCAACGCTAATCTTAATCATGAATCGGAGAGGAAAGAAGAAAAAAATCCTCACAGGAGCGACTGACGTACAGTAATTGATTGGAAATATTAAAGGTCTATTAAATGAATGGCTAGGCCTGAGCTAGTGCTACCATGTGGAGCAGTGCATCACGGCTGGCTGGGTGAAGGGTGTTGGAGGAGGGTGACGCTATATGCATACAGAGAACGGTTCTGCCTCCATCGTGCCCAATATAGCCGGTGGTATGATGTCGTTTATTTGGCATCATCAATCAATTTGATCAGTTCTCTCCTGATAGGCTTGAGTTGGGCTGCATTAGACTTAAAGAGTACAAGAGTAACGTTTTCTTTTCTTTTAAACTGACTCCTTATCATATAAAGTTTCAAGTCTTTTGCACCTCTTACCACACCCAGCATCAACTACTGGAGGTGAGCAAAATCAACATTTCCTGCTGCCGTCAGACCTTTAGTAATTATCCTGAAATAATGAAACGGGATACCATGGCTCATGGTTTGCTCTTAGCTTTAAGTTGGTAAACGCCTCTCATGGAAATTGGGGTTTGGTGCTGATTGGATGGAAGGAGTGGATGATATGGATCATTTAAATGGTACATTTAATATATAATTGCAAAAAAACAACAACTGGAAGTTCAGTTGAGAATGAGCAAGAAAAATAGCTAAAAGAAGAAGTGGAAATGTTTGTTTTTGGCAGAATTAAATGCTGTCACATCACAGTAGCTCATCTGCAAAAATCCACAAATCCACTATTGCCATAAATCAGTCCTGCTGATTGATTTACAGCAATACCCACAATAGTCTAATCCAGTTATTTTCAAGCCGGGTGTACGTTCGTAGTTGCCAGAAGTAGGGGCCGGGCTTTATATCGATATTGCATCAATATCATGATACGAGACTAAACATCTTCTTAGATTGTAAATATAGTAATATGGCACGAGTGTTTTCCTGGTTTTAAAGGCTGCATTACAGTAAAGATGAGAGTGCAAAGCGGAAACCATCTTTCACGCCATCTTAACAGCTCGAACGCGTTCGATGGTTTGAACACGTTCAGGTCGTTATTTAACCCATCAGGTTTTTCCGACAGCTACACCTTTGGAGGCAGCACGAGTGTGATCCTGCCAACGTTCATTTCTTTTCCAGTGGGAAGTGGAAGGTGATACCTCACATTTAAAATCAAAGAGCATGTTGTACCTGATGCATCCTCAAAGGTTCTAGTAGCGTCAACACTCATAACGTATCTTAACACACACTGTGACGCAGGTGTGGATCGGTCCTATCTGTGGGAGAGGGGGACCACACTGAATAATATTCACTCCTGAGCTTTCCTGAGTTGGATGAAGTGGAGCTTTCCTATCAGAGAGAGTGTTACGTTCTTTGTGTAACAACAGACTTCTTTTTGTGTGTCCATCTTTCGCAGCACGGTGACGTCGGCAGTGTTCACGGTGGGTGACAATGTGGTGTCAGGGAGCGACGACCGCACCGTCAAGGTGTGGGATCTGAAGAACATGAGGTCGCCTATAGCGACCATCCGCACTGACTCAGCTGTGAACAGGTAGGTGAAAGAAGAAGCAACGAGATGAGTCCACACTTCCTTTGACGTATGATCATGTGACGTGATCAAAAGCTCCAGAACCACTACTTAATCGACTTTAGGGTTAGAAAACAAACTTTGGAGCTCCAATATCTAAATTGTTTTAGTTATTGTGATGTCCACTTACTGTCGCTGAAGTATTGGTAGCTGCTCAATTGGGATCTGGAGAATAGAATGGGATCAGTACCTACTTCTGATTGAACGTGTTCCTTGATAGTAAAAACTAAATGCTGTTTTAAACTTCTAAAGAATAAAATCCTTATAAATATTTTTTGAATATGGCCAGGCTGCTCCTCACCTTTAGGGTTCATGATCAGTTAGACACCAGTATCAGCTGTTCAGCATACCGAAGGCCAAAACAGCAGATACATTTTTGTCTCCTCAATTGCTGAAAATGTCTCAATCTACAAGTCGGTAAATATCTTGAACACAGGTTCAGTCAGTGTTAACTAGAAAGTGAATTTGTGCTTAATATATGTTTTAAATCTAATAAAATACACGATAACTCAAACGCTGACATAGTGGAGAATAAAAGTCAAGACTGAGGTTGTTCAGGTGAAGAGTTTATCTGGAAGTATTAAGACAAATGTGACCTAGATTCAAAGTGGACTTGATCTGACCTTTCAGGATAAGCGTCTCTGCCAACCAGAGGATCATTGCTCTGCCACACGACAATCGACAAGTCCGACTGTTTGACATGAGCGGAGTGAGGCTGGCCAGGCTCCCGCGCAGCAACAGAATGGTAAGGAAGGGAACAAAGATGTGTGTTCGATCAATCAGCGTTGGTAAAACCTACATTTTAGACATCTGTGTGTGTCTGCAGGGTCACAGGCGGATGGTGTGTTGTACGGCGTGGAATGAAGAGAACCAGTCGTGCAACCTGTTCAGCTGTGGCTTCGACCGACAGGCCATCGGCTGGAACATCAACATCCCCGCCCTGCTGCAGGAGAAGTGATGCCACTGACCCACACACACACGCACTCACAACAAAAACACACGGAAAAGCAGGAGACGGTACACACAAACACTGTACATCTTTGGCCTCGCACATGCTTGCATGTTTAAAGTGTTTACACAGAGAAGCACTTTAGTTGTTATGGGGGGGAGTGACTTTTGAGGATGCAGCTATTGATAACTCAAAATTGATATGCCACTCATTTGTTAAATGACTGACATGGTTCCAGCATTTTAAAGTCCAAGTGTGTGTGAGGCCAAAGAGCTGCTCTCCTGTATTTGACCCTCTCACATATTTAGCATGCGTTGTGAATCGTGAAACGCTGACTCTTTCGTTCTCAGTCTTTTCCTGTTTTTAAAGTGTAAAAGTATATACTTGACTCCACAGTCACAGGCTGCTGTTCACATCACTGTTGTTTAGTTGCTGCTGAGTGGTTGCTCTTGCATGTAGATAATCTCGGTTTGCAAATGTTACTTGACTAGATGTGAGAGAACCGTGATAAGGCCAGGAGAGTTAGTAGAATATGATATGAAGACGGTATGTGTATATATTATGTTGTGGCCGGATTAAGTGACCTGTGTTGCAGGTTTGTTGCCACTTCATGGATTAAGTGTCTTACGGTGATCTACCTTTTTAAAGGTGTGGTTTGGCAGAGATAGTGAGGTTCTGTGAAATGTTTTTATCCTTTTAGTCCGACTTGAAATATTCTTATCATGGAACAAAACATATAATGTTCAGGCCTGCCAGATTACCTGCAGTTTGTATTCAAATGTTTCAGTAACTGCTGTCGTGTCACCGATTTCAGATTTGAGTCCATGCCTTTACCTGTGTTGCTTTCAATTCACAGCCAGCCTCCATATTTCCACATTTTGTCTTCAATTTTTCAAATGTTTCTGTAACTCTGCCTTGTTCCATGTTTACAGTAGGATTTATTGTGTAAAGTGTTGCTCTACTCTGTCTCTCTGTCAGACTGCAAAGTGTCAAGAGCATAGCAATAAAAACGACTGCATTTCTGAGGTCTGTGAATGGGAAGTGTGTCATAACATTATCATAATTGAGTATTCCCTTTATGTTGCAGGTTTAGGAGTCACTACTTTTCGCCATATTAAGCATTTGTATTTCTTCAGTGTTAGTAAAATATAGATCCATCCTCTTCAGCCAACGAAGAGCCCTGTTTTGCTGTAATGTGTCGTCCCCCATGTGAACTTTTAGGTTTACTGGTCATGTCTGTGCTTCAGTAACAGCCTGTCAATATGAATTTATAGTGTATTTGCATTGAACCCTTAGTCTTGTGTGACCTCTCTGACGTTTTGTTGTTGATGTCGCGTGCACTCTATCCAAATTCAGAAGCAATAACCCAGCTCCTTTGTGTGTCTGGTGCTCAGAGTGAAGCCCATTTCTGTCTTGGAAATCAGTGAATATGGCTTGTAATCCAAACTGAATCTCAGTTTAAGAACTAGTAGAACTGGAATTGGGCTTGACCGAAATCCTTTACTGTTACACTCGTGCAATATCCCTAAACATGAAGTCGTGCTGTAGTTTTTGATCTTCAGGCGTTTAACTTATTCTAGTGCTGTAAACCCCATGACAAGATTTGATGTGCTTGTGTGACTGGTGTAGATGTAGCTCAGTGTACGTAGTTATGCATAACTTACCCCAAAGTTAGCTTCAGACTTCACATTTTACTGCTGTTTCTACCAACAATCGTCTTAGATTTTGAGGCAGCATGAAGGTGAAAATGTAATGACGTATATTGAAATGCCTTTTGAAAATGGTGTATTAGCCTCATCCACCTCAGCATCAATGCACTTTTCCAAATGCTTGTTGAATAACTAGTTGTGTTCCACTGCACTGGGCAGATAGCATTTTTATTCCTGTTTCAGTTAGGGAACTCAATCTCGCGGCCACTGATGTCAATGTCATTTTAATCTGCAGGTAGAAAGGCAAGTCCTATTTTCGCCCCACATATGAATTCCAAATTGAAGGAAAATTATTTTGAACTGATGCATTAAATTATCGCGTGCCAGATTGTAGGGGTGGGTAAAAAGTGGATAGGCTTTGCCTCATTGTAGCGAATCGTATTCCTCAAAGTTCGTTATGTGGTCTACTTTGCATACTTTATTGTGATAGCTACGTGCTCTCTGACACTTTCCATTAAAATGTGTGATTTCCTTTCCCAGTCTCTCATCTCCTTTTTCCTCTTCTTCAACAAAACCCCCCCCTCAGCCTTTTATTCAGTTCAATAAGATGTATATCATTTTGAAATTACATTCATCTGGATGTAAATCTGGTAGGTTGGAATAATGAAGTCTACTGTTAATGAAAGGGGAACCATAAGGTGTATGAATATTTGTACTCAGTGCAAACAGTACCCATTACCCATGGCTGATATGACATTTCATATGTTTCATTTGTATGAAGATTTGTAGCTAAATGGTCTTCAGGCTTAAGGGAAGTCCACATGGCAGCTACAGCGTTGCATACAAACGGCATGTGAGATGTATTTGTCACATATCTGCTTTCTACTCACTTTGATGCGAGTTATCAATGCATGATAGGTTTTATCTTATGTTTTTTAAGATATAGTGTCAAGCAAAACTTGGTTTCTATGGGCCTTTTTCACAGCAGACATTTGGACTTGTCATGTTAGGAAAATCACAGGCGTTACTAAAAACTTTAATGATGGCTTTGATCTATTTGATTTTTTAAAGGTCGAAAAAAAGTATGCCGAAATAAGTCATAGTATTGTATGTCGGAAAAATTATTACATCCAAAGGTTTAACTATCTCAACTGGTAGAGAGTCAGGCTGTAAACCATGTTTGGTTCTTAACCTGCATGGGTTCAAATCCCAGGCATAACTAACAATGGATATTTCTCTCTAATATCTTAATTAAAGGTTATAACATGTCAAAACAAAGTAATAAAAAGTCCTAGTATATGTTGAAAAAAGTCCTAGTAGTCATACTATTGTATGTCGAAAAAAGTCATAGTATACTGTGTCGAAAGAATTGAAAAAAAAGCCATATTATGTCCAATAAATTAAAAAAAAAAGCCATATAGTATGTCGAAAAAAGTAATGGTATATGTTGAAAAACATGAAAATAGTCATAGTATAGTATGTCGAAAAAAGTCATGGTATAGTATGTCAAAAAAGTCATAGTATACTATGTTGAAAAATGTGAAAAAAGCCATATTGTATGTTGAAATAAGTTATAGTATAGTATATCGAAAAAAGTAATGGTATTATATATTGAAAAACATGAAAAAAAGTCATCTTATAGTATGTCGAAAAAAGTCATAGTATTGTATGTCGAAAAAAAAAGTCATAGTATTGTATATCGAAAAACGTGAAAAAAGCCATATAGTATGTTGAAATACGTCATTGTATAGTATATCGAAAAAAGTAATGGTATTATATGTTGAAAAACATGAAAATAGTCATAGTATAGTATGTCGAAAAAAGTCATAGTATAGTATGTCAAAAAAGTCATAGTATTGCATGTCGAAAAAAGTAATGGTATATCGAAAGAATTTTAAAAAGTCATACTATTGTATGTCGTAAAAAGTAATGGTATTATATGTATGTCGGAAAAATTACTACATCAAAGGATTTAACTAGCTCAACTGGTAGTGAGTCAGGCTGTAAACCATGTTTGGTTCTTAACCTGCATGGGTTCAAATTCCAGGCATAACCAACAATGGATATTTCTCTCTAATATCTTATATTATCTTGTAATATATGTCAAAAAAAGTAATAATACTGTATGGCAAATATAAGGTCATCAAAATGTATAGGATAGAATGTCGAAAAAAAGTTATAAAGGAGCATGTTAAAATATTGATAGTATAGCAAGTTGAAAAGAAGTTATACAAATTCATAATATTGTATGTAAAAGAAGTAATAGTGTAGTATACTGAAATAACATAAAAATAAAAGTATAGAATGTCAAAAGAAAAGGTCATAACCGTTTTATATAGTAAAAAAAAGAAGTAATAAAAAGTAATAGTATAGCGTGTCAAAGAAAGTCAGTAAGTCCCTGAGGGTTTAGGGTTTAGGGCCTTAGGGGGACATTGAGGTTTGGGCCAAAGTTCTTACTTGTAAACTTCATCTACCCTGACGTCAAGAAGAAGCGGCTTTCTGACGTCACACAACGGAAGCACACGTTGTGAATGGTAAACCAACTAAAATGCAACATAAAGTATATTTGTCTGCATTTAATCAAAGATAATACATACTATCATGTAGTAAACTTGTTCTGCGTGTAAATTGATGTCAAAATATGTTGCCAACGTTATTAGGTAGCTGGTTACGGTAAACAATCTCTGAAAGTTATCTTCTCTGCACAAAGGAAACCGGGGAAAAGTCCGACCTCCGGGTCGTCTGGAACACGACATGTTGAAATGGTGTCATCCTCAGTGTGTTATGGCTCTTAGATTTCATAGAGACACAGCATGACACTGGGAAAGAGAATATTCTGTGGAGTTTTACCTCTCTGTCCTCGTCCATTAGATTATAGCTGGCTGGCCGTGACCAGCCACTGGAGCAAATTGTCAATTATGATGTTTATTGTCGAGCACACAGTCGACTCCATGGCCTTAGGGGGAAGGGTGGATGCTGCTGAGGAGGCATACCTCGATCCCCTCCTCTCCTCTCGCCTTCTTCCTCGCTTCATTCTTCCTCCAGGCTAATTTGGTGGCTGGTCTGTGTGACACCTGCCACCGAGCCAAATAGAGATAACCATTTCCCCACGGATTTCCCCTGGGAGAGACAGGAGGAGGGAGGGAGGCCTCTTTCATATTTTTTCTGGATGCTCCTGAGGGCCAGTGCTGGCTATGGACATGTGGAAATGGCCCAATATCAGTGCTCGTTATTTGAATTTTGTGTATTTGTAATGACAGATTTAATGTTATACATTGAATGTTCCGACATCAAAATCGGACTAAACAAAAAAAAACGATCAAAAAAAGGTAAAATTACAAGATTTTGTGGTTTTATTCACATATACAGTACAAACATTCACTTTTTGTTACTGAAGTGCAATTTACAGACCGTAGCAGCAATTCTTCATATACTTTAATTTACATGATAATTAGACATTTTAGGATCTCGTTCACATCTTTGTCAACATCTTTTATACATATGTACACTATTAGATACAGTATTGCCATTCAGACATGCCTTATATTTATTGTCTCTCAAAATAAATGGGTTTTTTTCGGGCTAATACAGCCATTATGAAACGTGGTGTGAAGCAATGAGGAATGCTGTTACCTCTGTCGACAAACCATGTCAACTCTGAAGTTATGGAGTGTGGGCTGACGATGACCACTCAAACAATGAAAATCTGCAACACATGTTGGTGAAAAACACACACAAAATCTCTGTTCGGATACACACAGTCAAGATTTTCACTAAATCTGATCTTAAAGTGTAAACAACGTATCAGATAATATGAGTTCCTGAAATCGGGGGCGGAGATCAACAGGGGGCCCGAAAAAGGTTCATCTGGCTACGCCTCGAACACACAGACAGGCAAGTGTTAACCTCGTCATGATGCCTCTAAAGCCTTTAGGTGAAATGAATAATGCCTTTTTTTTAAAACCCTTTTACATCACATCCCGTCAAATTGTGCACCTATTTAACAAAATGGATATATGAAAACCCATTAACCTTTTCATCCTGTGAAACAAAGTATGGCGTGTGCCTACATAAGCTAGAATCAATTCATTTAAACCAATAACATCGTGACATCCAAAGGCCCCGTTTTCTCAATCAGCGTCTTACTACGAGTAATGAGGCCTTACTTTGTTTATTTCACATGAGAATTTTCTATCTTTGTGAAATGTCTGTATTTTATCTCACTGGTTTAAAGTGGGTGGGGCTTCATTGAGAAAAAGGTCACGTCATATTTGGCAACATTTGAATCAGAATCTGATCACAGTTGGGTTGCTTGGTCTTTGTCAACACAACCACATCAGCCACACAGCCGTGATGAAGCAGGTTAGCTGAGATTGAGACCGTTAAACTCAATAAATAATCAGAAAGACAGGTTTTTTTCTCCGAACTTTAACTTTTGATAAATAAGTCACAAATAAGTAAAGCTACAGAGAAATATAACAAAAAAATAAGATTCCAAGGGCTTCAAAACTGTCATAAAACAAAGAATATCACGTACACACCTCTGATGCAGAACTGGCCAACATCCTCGACATATGGAAACATCGGCCTAGTGAATGGGAAGCCAGACGCAGGTCACACGTGGCTCAAGTTCTCTCTTGTGTGCAGTCAACAATTTGGTTTGGCACTGTATCCTCACTGGAGCACTCGATGCAGCCACAACAGGGGGGGGGGGGGGCTCAGTAAGAGCAGGACAGGGAAACAACAACCGAAAACCACCACTAGATGTCCCTCTCATTACTTGGATCTTTACTGCTGACTGAGCTGGCGGCTGGTGTGGATCCCTCCTCTAAAATTAAAGATAATACAGCAATGACAGAAAAACACAGTCATGATCACAATGAATATAAACACTTGGCTGCATTAAAGAAAAAAAAGTTTGATGTTTACATCATGAAATATGTAGAGACAGAAAAATGTGTGAGGTACAAATGTACATGGTAGAGATCAGGGATGTCTGTATTTACCTCGCTGATTTTTAATCTTTAATTCATACACAACTGGTGTGTGGAAAACAGCTGTTTCAAAATAAAGTCAACCACAGCGCTCACAGTCAGGGGGGCGCGGGTTTACAAAACTTTTCGCCACCGTGACTATCTTGTTCAGGGCGGTCATAACCACAGAGAGAAAGCGCAAGTCGATCAGGTCAACAAGGCCCTGCTAATGAGTCACGACTTAAAGTCACTATGATTGGTGACAACAAGCTTCCATTCAGATCTACGGAAACCGGCTCCAGCGGGCTGAAACCTGAGGTCAGCCAGGTCACAAGACAGAAAGAGAAAGGAAATCAAATTTGTATGAAAGAGAGGGTTGGGGAATAGAGAAAAATACTCCCCTTCCTCCATCATCACCTCCACCTGGACTTAGGCAAGCAGTAATGGGTTTATGCGTTTATGCACCTCAGTTCTTCTCTTTCTCTCCCCGCATTGGGTTGAGGTTGGGGGAAAAAAAGAGGGTGTATTAACCTGTAGTCGTGTCGTGTTAACCTCCACCGCGCTTGAAAGGCAGGGGTGGGGGGAGACGCAAGCGAAGAAGAGAGAGTGACAAAGAGGACGTGAGGGGAAATAGGTAGAGGACTGAAGAAAATGTAAAGGGGGCAAGGAGGGAGAGATGGAGACAAAAGGAGGAAGAAGTCAGGAGTCAAAGGGTGAGTCAGAGATGGAGGACAAAGATAGAGATGAGAGAGGGAAGGTGAGGCGGGCTGAATGCAATGGTGTGTCTCTCTCTTTTTCTCACTCTTCCCTTCCTCTATCACCCGTCACCCTGACAGGGCCGGTAATTGGACGTGGACCTCTTTCTCTCGCGCGCGCTTTTTTCCCTTTCTCTGTCTCTCTCTCCCCCATGGCTCGGCTCCTCAGCGGGAGCCTTGGGGCCCGGAAATAGCTGATGACAAGATAGCGGCTGCCTTTCATTCTGCTCAAGGTTACCCCACCCTTCCTTGACAGCCGAAGAGGGGGTATTTAGGTGTGTGTTTGCTTAAACGTGTGTGTTTGTGCGTTTGAAGAAGGGCAAGAAAAAGAAAGGGTCCATCTTTTTATGTCCGTTTTCCTTTCAGCCCGTCCTGCTGACCTTCCTCTTGTCGTGTTTCTGTCGGGTGGATGGGCGGCACATCCAGGATGACGCACACATGCGCGGGTGCGCACACACACACACACACACACACACACACACACACACACACACACACACACACACACACACAGTGGTGATGTGTGCCTTGACTTTAGAGGTTACACTGGTAAACTTCCAGGTATGAAGGTGTGAAGCAGGATGTTGGTAAAGAGCATGGAGTCATCTTACCCTAAAAAATAAAGGTTAAACACACACACACACACACACACACACACACACACACACACACACACACTCTCTCTCTCTTCCTTAGACCGACAGCAGGAACTGTTCCTGCTCTGGCGGTTTCTTGACCCAGGTCCCGAGGCCCGTTTCCTGCAGAGATCTGAACCACTGCTGCTTCACTGTCTGGTAAGGACGTGCCGCCATCTTGGCGTCGCAGTACATGAGCTGGCAGTCCGCCGAGCTGAAGACGTGGATCCCCGACTGAAGAGGGCAAGCGAGCAAAGGGAGAAAGAGAAGAGGAGAGACGGACAGAGAGGGGGAGAGAGAAAGAGAAGAGGAGAGACAGACAGAGAGGGGGAGAGAGGAAGAGAGCAATTGGGAGTCAGATAAAAACCACACAGAGACGGACATCAAGATAGATAGAAAGGGAAAAGAAATAGAGGGGTATAAAATCGGGGCAGAGAGGCTAAAGGTTTCACAGAGGGGGGAGAGACAAGAAGAAGAGCGAGCAAAACAAAACGAATGAGCCGGCACAAATGCATTTGGGTGGGGTTGGGAGGTGGTGGGGTGGTGGGGGGGCTTCAACAGCTGTGTAATCTCCCCATTTAAATTTCACAAGCAATTGAACATTCTCTGTGCTTTTTGTGCATTCCTATTGTCGCGAAGGGAAACAATGAAGATCCACGGAGAGACAAGTGGGGGGAGAGAGAGAGAGAGAGAGAGAGAGAGAGAGAGAGAGAGAGAGAGAGAGAGAGAGGGAGAGGGAGAGAGAGAGAGAGAGAGAGAGAGAGAGGGAGAGAGAGCAAAAGTTTCTTTTGGAGATTAGTGCGACTGCTCTTCCGTGGCCCTTATATACTGCGCGCAGGGAGCACTTAGGGTGGGGGCCTCCTCGAGTGCTTCTCCAAATAATTATGGTTTCATAGTCATTATGCTTTAACGGCCGCCATTTGGCGATGCAGGCACTGTCTGTTGCATAAAGTTTCGGGATGGAAATGAAAGTGCAGCGGGTCTGTGTGCTGACGCTAAAGATCCGAGCTGCCAGTTTCTGATAAGCCGCGTACAGAGCAGATGTTGGCGGGGCCGACACATCTATCCACGGCGGAGAGGAAATTCCACACGTTCTCCGCAGAGCGCTCACCTGCAGCCACAGCAGCGCTGTGACTCTGATGTTAATACATGTGTCTGTGCTCTTTTGTTGGCATGCATAGGCCTACCTGCAGTTACCGTCTCTGCATTACTGTGTGTATGTGCTTGCCTGTGATTCCTGATGGCACATTGTTTTTCGACGACAACTGAGTAATGCTCCTCTTGCTCTCCAGCAGAGGAGCATTTACGTGAAAGAGCAAGTGGAGCAGAGTGGTGACACAGACATTTATTCATATGAAAATGTGACTATTGTTCCGACTCAGATTAATTAAATAGTACATCATAATATTTTTTTTTTCCCAGCGAGTAAAAGATACACTGTGGAAGGTGGTTTTTAATTAACATTTAAATTAGTAGGACATTTCCACAGCAGATATTTCAACAAGTCATAACAAGCAAAGCACGGTGTAATTAATAATATTTAATAATGGCTGTATTCTGTTGGGTTGTGTCAGTGCTCTTTGTATTGTGCATGCCGGTATCCTTAAATGGAAAAGAGCTCTCATTAATGTCACACCTGTGCTTTATCTACCAGAACACAAAAGTCAAAATGTCTGCTGAGAAAAAAAAGCCCATCGCGGGAGAGGAGCCACTGCTTTTGTCAATATTTTGACCACTGGAAAGCCTCATTTCTTGTAATGTCGTCGTCAATGTACATACAATATAGAAAGAACAGGAATAACGTGGATCATTTAACTGTGTTATGGCCATCGTTTTTCATTATCTCAGCTTTGTTTTTGAGACATATCCGTAGTTTAGGGGTTAAACAACATCTCTGGTTCGTGCCCTGCCTGCAACCTTTGTCGCCCTCATTTCATCTCTAAACTTTCCACTTTCTACTAGTAAAGACAAAAACAACGCTCCTCCCCCCAAAAAACAAATCAAAGAACTTTGTTTGTGAGAAATCTTGTAAGTGTGGTCTAGCAGATACTACGATAAATACTACGATACCCATGACCCATCACATTGTCCATGTATTTCACAAGAGCCTAGAATATAATTAAGCCTCTGATCTTAAAGGAAGCATGCCTCTCACATATTCTCTCTCTCCCCATTTATACATTTAGCTAAACCCATGCTGCCCCGACGTTACCTTGCCTGTGGATGCCCTCACCTTGCGGTAAAGTCTGTTCCAGCGGGTGAAGAGGGCGTGTTTGCAGAGACGAGAGGGTGTCCCTGAGTCCCGTCTCCGTCCCGTTGCTGTGTTGACCACCTCCAACTGTGCATCACCCAGCGTCCAGTTGACACTCACACACGAGGCCTTCCCCGGCTGCTGATCAGTGCTCAGCCCTACAGAGATGACAGCACAGGGGGAGGGAGACTGATTTAAGACTGGTGACTGGTTTAATCTCCGTAACGTTCAAGGTATTCCCCAATAGCTGCTCCAAATTACATTAAATCTGTAAAACAAAACACTTCTTAAGAGTGTTTCAAAATGTAATGCACATATGAGTAAAACAAGTGTGGAAATTAGCAATTTCTTTTCTGTCAAACCTCCACTTTGTTGTGTCGTTTAACCTTCCATCACCCTTCCCTCAGTCTCTCCCTGAGGCTAAGGGCAGACATAAAGTTTTGCCGCACTGCAAAAAGCCAAGTCAACCTGGGCCTGAAACATCATGGCGAAGCTTTCATTTACCCTCAGAGAGAGGGGGAGAGAGGTGGGAGAGAGGGGGGAGCGAGGTGGGAGAGAGGGGGGAGCGAGGTGGGAGCGGGACGGGCTCTTGAGCATATAAGAAACATGTTCCTGCCTTTGTGTGAATGCTTGTCGGCTCTTGAGTCCCAGCAGTTAAGCGTTTGAGTGTTACCAGCTATGTACGCCATAAACATTATCTCCAGTCAAAAAGACGAAGCCTCCCATACACTGGACTGTCTGTCTCTCTGTCCCGCCCTCTCTCTCTCTCTCTCTCTCTCTCTCTCTCTCTGAAATAATTAGCCCCGCTAGCAAAGCACACAAAAGCGCTCAGTCGAGGAAGGAGAAAGAGAGACAGAGGTAGAGGGAAAGTGGAGGTGACTGTCACATTGGGTTCCACATGTATAATTAGGTGCGGTGCCTATGGTGGAAACAGAGCTGACAACAGGGTGAGAAACGAAAAAAAATGTCCTTTAGGGGCCACCGTGGATGCTTCATATAAGCCAGTTTATTTTATATTTTTAGTTATATTCTGAATAAGGAAAATGAAGAAGTTGTGATTCAGTGTTTGAAGTTTAAAAAAACACTCGACTGTATGGCCTGAGGCAGTAGAAGATGCTGAAAGGCATGCTACTTGGGGATGGAGTGAGAAAACAGGCCTGCCAGACGTTACCAGGAGAGGCGTTGGAAGAGGCACATTTTTAAGCATTTTTACAGGGACGATGCAAAATAGATCACCATGTATATGTGCGGGGGGGGGGGGATATGTCCATATTTAGCAAGAGAGCGGGATCTTTTCATCTAACTCTTGGCCAGCAAATAAGCGTTTTTCCCAAAATGTCGTACTATTTAATAATACCAATGAAAAGAAATGACGAGTGCAAATTGCTCATCTGTTTGCCAGGATAGGTTAGGTAGATAACAGCTGAGTGAACATCTGCTTGAACACCATATCCACTCTAAATCTGTAAAGCTGTCTTCAGAAAGGAATCGCTGTCTTGAATTTTATCTCGACTTCCAACCCAGATATTTATTATATCATTATATCTGAAAGGTACCTTTGCAGAAAATCAGCAGACAGATTCTGTGCGACGGGTGAACAACAGTTGCCTCTGATCTCACCGTCTGACAGACAGCTTGTTATAGTACAATACCTGATGTACAATATCACAATACATGCCTGCAGATCATCTCCCTCCTCGCCACGCTCATTTTCCTGTCTTCACTCTTCCATTCACCAATCTCAGCTCTTCTTTTCTGTAGCTCCTTGGAGTTGGAATGAATTGCCTGCCACAGTAACAATCCTCCAAGTCTCTTATTACCCATCTCTTCTCTCTTGTGGAGACACACCTCTTTGAACAAAAGACCCCCCTATCCATCCGGCCTTTTCCCTTTCTCCCGCTCCATTCATGGCTCATTTCATCCCTTCAATGGACTTGACTCCTCTGTTTCTGTAATAGCCAATTTGATTTTTTCCCTCAATGAAGACTTGATCAATTTCTCTTCTGAGAAGTGTTTGACAGACATGAAAGAGGCAGAATTAGAGCCTGTGGTTATGGGATTCATAACTGTACAGTACACGTGGCCGTCGTGGCTTTATATGTGAGGCTTCTGTAGAGCCACAATACAGCACCGCCTGTGTGTTTATGTGTACACATTGCATCTATTCTGCCTCACTTTAGTACTGCAGGGGTTTCTAAAGCGTTCCTCGTGGGGGTGGAGCAGCAGAGGAGTAGGATGGCCTTCTTCAATGTTAGTGTAAGGGGCAGCAATTCATTAATGAGTGAGGCATGAGATGTGACTGAGGCTACATACACACTAATATGTTTCTGTTTTGAAACATGGTTTTTAAATGAAAGCAATCTACGTCCACACGGGCATTTCAGCACCGCTTTCAAAATGATTTCCGTCCTCACTAGCCCGCCTGAAAACGAATATCACATGACTATTCACGTAGACTGGGCATGCGGGTGCCGATGTAAACAGGAAGTAGATCAGTTGAAAATACGACAGAGTATTATAGTACTCTTTAATAATAAAAGGTTGTGCTTGGTACTTCAGTTCTTCCTCCATAATCGTCCCCTTTATACTCACAGACAAATATTGAAAAGTTGTATTTTTCTAACTTATTTACAAGGTTGCAGGTCTTGCTCTATCTGTCTCTCACACGCATCAAATTTACTGTAAAATGAATATTTATAAATCGAAGTTTACTAGATTACATGTCAATAAATTTGGTCAGCACACGTCTCTCACTCATTTTCTTGGTTTCGTTTTCTGTTCTCACACTCATAGCTCTGCTGGTGGCTGAAGTCCCTGTCTTACTGGAGAGCATTTAAGCTTGTGTTCGTTTACAGTTTCTTTGTTAACTTCACAATAGTTGTGCAGAACAAAATAAGCATTAATAAGAAAAGGAAAGTCCTCCGCTTTGTGTCCATCGTCTTCCTCGAAGCCGCAAACCGTGACTTCAGACGTCCGCTCCGTAGGTCCGATAACGCCGCTGGACACGCCGCTTGCTGATTGCTCCAATAACAGCTGCATCATACACGTCATCATTAGTAGAATTATAAAATACAGAATTTATTGCACAACAGCTGCTAGCATAGACAACAAGGCCAGTAACCTATCCATGTTATAGCTATCCATGTTATCCATGTTGAAACGAATCACTGGTAGACCTGGCTGTTTGTTTTCTTCCAGAAAAGGCTGATGTGATAAGGGCGTGACGAATCAGGGAAGGACACGTCGTGACTGCGAAGACCCAATCAAGTAGCGAATGCCTCGTCATCGCTTCCATCATCGACGTTCGGCCTGTCCACACTTTGAGGTAACCTAGGAGTTTCCAAACTTATCCGGCCTCGGGTGCATTTTTAAACGTCTGGATTAGTGTGGACGCTCAGTGCAAACGTAGCAAAAGATATGCGTTTTAAAATGGAAATGTAGTAGTGTGGATGTAGCCTGAGAGGTTGCCAGTTCAAATCTCTGAAAGACTTTGTTAAGAGTGATCTCTATTCGCCTCCATTATCACTTACAATCAATCACAAATGTATACAATATGTAGGATATTTACTTTCTGCCCTAACGGGTGTGCAGCTCCTCAACATAGTCATACAAGGCCAATGGATAATTCAACAATCAACCCAAGTCCGTAAGGATCTAGATCTGATCTATTACATCCTATAGAAGTTCATAAAAAATCTTGACGCAACCTTCCATCATATAAAACCAACAGGCCTACCTCTATTCTTAGCTCAATAGCAGCAAGATTGGAGCATGGGTCTGATGCAAGTATTTAGGCGGTAATGCATTACTTTGTAATACGCTACACGTTTTGAGTTTTTTCAGTAACGAGTAGTATAAGGTTAGTTACAATTAAAAATTGTGAAATGTGAACGAAGCAGGGTGTAGCTAGGAAAGAAGCATGTATCCTCAATAAACGGCAAAACCGCTGGTGGACGACCTGTATTCACGTTTCTTGCGTCTGCTGTTGTCGGGGTTCTTCTTATCCCGAAAGGCCAAAGCCCTGCCACAGATTCCGTTCACGCTGTGGTGGAAGTGAACAGCAGGACGAGAGTGAAGGACAAGTCAGCCCGTCGATGTGTTTGGCCCTCGGGGTTCAGGTGTAGCTGCTTTGTCTGAGTGTGATAAGACCGGGCCCTGCGATCCCTGGGAATTTCCTCCAGGGGTGTTTCTTTTAAATAACCCTGGACACACAATAGCCGGGGAGCTCATCAGAGCCAATGAAAGGACGGAGGAGGAGATGAGAGGTGGTGGGGGGGGGGTGGGTGGGGTAAGGTACACACACAGACATCTGAATGCAACCGAAGAGCTCTTTTTCTTTATTCCCATCCTGCCTTGCTGTCTCCCTCTCTTCCCCTCAGCATGTCTCTCTCTCGCTCTGTCCGAGCTCCCTTCAGATTGAATGGCTGTCTGATAAGGGCTGTGATTACATTGATTTGGTGTAGGGTCCATCGTTCCTCCTCTCCCCCCTTTCCTTCGCCCTTCTACCCTTCAATAGACCGTAGCAACTCGAGGTACTGCAGGTGCAGTTTGCGATGTGCGTACAGACAGAAAGCCTCATTGTGAGGCATGTTAGAGGGGAGGGCAGGGCATTTTCAGGAGGAGGCCACCTCTGTTTTGAGTGAAGAAGAGGCTCAAGAAATATGTAAAGGACATTCTGCAGCATCATTCTTGAATGAAAATAAGCGATATAATCATTAAAAAAATTATGTGTAGTACTTACTGCATGGCTTATTATAGTTAGAAGGAATAAGGTAATACTATAAGTATGATTAATTAACAAATGGATCTTTACCTGAGCACAATTCTCCAAATATTAACTGCAGCTCATAATATCCAAAACCAAAAACTCCATTCCAGACAACTCAGATGACTCCATTCAAAAGCTATTGAACAAATCATGAGAAATGCTCGCCGAGGCCGTGGTCGGAAGATTCAATGATAAATTTGTCCTATCATCACCAGAGGACAATTCAGTACATTTATCAATCTTGATGAGGATAGGCCTCACAAAATATTCATCCTCATGGCACCCTATTACCCGGAGCGCAGCCCCGCAATGCAAAGAGCTCCTATGCCCTTCAAGAAGCATACTTGAAAGCTGATAAAAGTATGGTAGGTATGGAGAATGTATCGGACGCTGGGGACTCAAAATAAATGGAGAGGACGGGAGGAAAGGCAACACAAGGCATCATGTTATCTCATTTAGTTCTTTCTCTTATTTTGCACCTCCATTTAACTAATGAGCTCAGTACTGCTTAATATATGTGCTCTCATGTTCTTGTGTATGTCATATAGCCTCGTGAAGGTTGCTGCACGGGTCCATTGCGTTGGCACGACACTGCATGATAGATAAATGAAATAGGCCTGAATAAAATGTGCTAATTTTCTAATATGCTAGATGGATTTGCTGCCAGCTCCTGAGGTACATACAGTGGTAGAGAGTTGTTGATTTACATGTTTGTGGCCCATCAAAGATATTCATTTAAAAAACTAATTACATTAAATTGATAGGGGAGGCTCCGCCCTAAGAGAGCAAAACCAGAATATATATATATATATATATATATATATATACATATACACACACACACACACACAGACATATGTTCTCATTAGAGATCCCTAGAAACAAAATGTGCCCTACATCTTTGTGCGTCTCTGTCGCTCAGCCACTCCGGCTGGCCTAGATCTGAAGTGATGGCTTCTACAAGTTGGGTGTCATTCAGATCCTCATCCAGCATTCATCTTCGCTACAAACGAACGCCTCGGGTCTCAGTGGAGCCCTGGAGGCAGACGTGCCAGACAACTTCATAGCTGTTGCTTGTCTGGCTGGCACAATGTAACTGTAGAGAAGCAGGGGTACACGAGTTTGTCAAGCACGTACGTGTGTGTGTGTGTGTGTGTGTGTGTGTTTGTGGGGGGGTCGATCTGTTGTGATTGATTATATAAATTATTATGTCCCCATCTGAAAATACAAAAATGCTGTTATTTTACTGTTTAAATGCAGGGTAGACGATAGAAAGCACAGTCTGTCATTTAGTAGGAGTATATGAAAGACTAGGAAAATAAAAAACTTTTACTCGACCACTTGAGAGCCGAAACAAAATCATCATTTAACCTGTGAATTCCTGGTGAAGTGTGTTTAAATACTGTTTTTCATCTAACTTGGTAGACAGGGATAACAGTAAAGTGAATATTGGACTTGCATTCATCAGGTGGACACAAACACGAGTCCTCATGAACGATAATGTTGCTCCGTATCGGCTGGATATGTAAATTGGCGACTGTTTAAAAAGTGATCGTATATCAATGCTTGTTCACAGCTTGTTTCTGCTGCCCCCAAGTATCCAAACATATTCAAAAAGAAAAAATGTAATTGACCAAATAAGGGGAAAATTGTTGTTTTTTTGGTTCAACACAGCATATAATTTGACTTCAGATATGAAATTGCATCTCGTATTCAGATCTACTGCACTGCCTTTTTAAAATATCAAAACGGGTAGTATAAAATCACTCCTCAAATCAACTGCTGTATCACTTTTGAGACCAACCATGGTCTACTGCAGCAGGGTCACGTGGGTAATCTGGGGATCACTTAACAGTGCAGGCAGAAATAACGTCATTTCAGAGGAATTGCGGTGATCAGTAGATATGCTCAAAGAAGTCAAGTCAATTTGTTCAGGTCTTTTACAAAGTTTAACACGTTTTTTGTGTGAATTTTGACATGCAAATTTGCACAATTTCACCATCTTGACGGCTCAGAAACCACTCCGAAACTGAGACCAAAAACCTACATCTTTTCTATATTGAAAAGATGCATTTCTAAATGGAATTTGACTAAATCACACTGAGACGAGTCTGACGGTCTGTGTTGTGGTCGTACCGCTGAGCAGGGGCTGGTTGCGTTTGTGCGTGGCGGGCAGCGGCCCGAGGCGCTCCTGCCGCTGGTTCAGGACTCTGCCCAGATAGCCCGTGTGGCGCAAGCTGCCGACGGTCACGCTATGCAGGTACACCGGCTCCACAAAGTGGCTCAGCAACGCCCCCTGCAGGCCCAGGATGTTCCATCTGAGGGGAGGGAGCAAAGAGAGAGGAAGTCAGGGAGAGACAGCGGTGTGATGGTTTGAAAAGTAGATGAGAAAGGAAGGGTGAGAGAGGAGGGTGTCGAGGAAATAATATAGGAAAGAAGGAGGGAAGGCAACAGTTGGGGGGGGGAATACGTGGGAAGAGAGATAGAATCAGGGCAGGAAAGGAGGAGAGATGGGTAGAGAGAGGAAGGGTAAAAAGAGAGAGATAGAGAGAGACATGTGAGAGCTTAAATGACAGGTAGAGACAATTTGATCATTATCTTGATGTGGGACGTGATGAATAACAGCTGCTGGACCGACAACACACACACATACACACACACACACACACACACACATACACACAATCTGACGGACCCACTCGTCCTCCTCTCCCACTTTCCCTGGTTCAGCGACACAAACCATCACCGCCACCTACAACAACACAGCCAAAGGTCAGTCCATCAGCATTCACCACATGGAACAACACATTACCATGTGTGCATTCATCAGTGCCATCGAGGTTAATGCACTGCACGGGGCTGCAGGCAAGCTTCCGTCGATTGCTCAACGCGAGGAGGGGCAATCGCCTCCGGATTTGTTTAGGGGGATCCACGTGTGACACAAAATCACTGCAGGGCTAATCCTGCCAGGCGCACCGACGCCCGATACTGTAGCCAGCTGGTCATGTGCCACCTACTGCTGAAGCCCACTCTACAGTATTTAACCAGCAGATGCTAATTTATGGATGGAAAATGATAATTACCTTGTTTATTATCATTCCTGCCCTTCATGGAGAGAGAGAGAGAAAGCCTGCTGTGTGCCTGAGCTGTTCACTGGACTAATGAACTTATGCGAGCCACAATCAAAGGCTCCACATTATGCCACTCATTTTAAGATCATTGTTCTTTTTGTTAATCAATGTCTCTTTATCACGGATGCAATTACAGCGGCTCCTTGTTTTCTCGCCGACTTAATAATCACTCATTGCGGCTTCCCGAGCAGTCAATCAACATCAACGGCTTTCTGGGAATCACCGAACCTGCTGCCGCCGCTTTACCTGCAATCTGTCGGCGAGATCTGTCCTTCCCTCTCAAACAGAGAGGAGGAGCTTTGTTTCAAAAAAGCACACGTGCTCACACACCAACCCAGTGCTCCACCGAAATAGAAATAGTTTAGCCTGAAATATTAATTTACCCAGAAAGCGACACCGTGAATCAGAAACATCTTCTAATCTCATGCAAGAAAAGACAGCCATCTGGCTTGGGTGTGTGCATTTAAAGAGAGGAGGGGTGAGACTTCTCTCTCTCTCTCTCTCTCTCTCTCTCTCTCTCTCTCTCTCTCTCTACATCTATCCTTTCTTCCCTCCCCCGGTAAACGCAGACCATTAAAGTAATGTTCATCTGCATAAAACTGCAGTGGAATGGAGAACATCATCGTTATGTGAAAGCCATTTAGGCCCCTCAATTAAATCCAGCTGTGGACTTCAAATCAAATATTAGCAAAGGCGCCTTCGTAGGGCCTGGCTTAAGAAAACACACCGGTGAATCAATGATGGGGTGAGACATTGCCCATTATCAAAAAATGTTTACGATAAGAGCAAAGATCCTAAAATCCCTTATGGTCAAGGCTGAACTAACTATAATTATGTGCAGGAACTGAAGGAAGAGTGGAAATAAAAAAGTAATGGGAGGCTGCAAAATGAGTGTGACAGAGGACAAGAAGAGTATCCAGGGGATCACTATAAGACTGCAGCAGAGTGTGTGTGTGTGTGTGTGTGTGTGTGTGTGTTGAGTCTTCCGTCCTAAGCTCCTCTCAGTTCCACCCTCCACCCTGACCTTGATAGACTGGCCCTTGGTGACCCACTCACTTTAACGACGGCCACCCATCATTTACAGCGATATAACCCCCCCCCCCCCAAAAAAAAAACGGAAAGAGGAGGCTGCGGAGCAAAGAGAGCGCGTCTGCCGTCCGGCCTGGCTCGATATGGAGGGGTGGGGGGGGGGG